AAAAATATATATACCAAAAATTAGCCGGGCATGGTGGCACATGCCTGTAGTCCCAGCTACTCGGGAGGCTGAGGCAGGAGGATCGCTTGAGCCCAGGAGTTTGAGGTTGCTGTGAGCTAGGCTGATGCCACGGCACTCACTCTAGCCTGGGCAACAAAGAAAAAAAAAATACCTACATACTACCACAAAAGACATTCTCCTGCTTTCTCTGAACTGATGAGTAGCCTGCATCTGGCTATGATCCAGTGTAGGGAAACCAGTTCCTCACAATACAGTGTGATCAGTAAGTACTTTGGGAATATAAAACATACTGGCCATTTCAAATTCTCGACATTATTAAAAACTCAACTTCAAAAATTACACTGTTCATTTTTTAAAACACAAAAACAAAATATAGTGTGGGGTAACAAGTATACCTTCCTATTTATCATCTAACAAAACAAATCAAAATCAAAAGCCAACCTCAACAGGTGACTGAACTACTTAAAACATATATCAATGGTTAATTTCCACAATGAACTTTATTGCATGCTAAGTTTTTGAAAACACATTTGTTCCCCTCGCACCTGAACGGATTCATAAAATCTTGGTTATAGATTACTTCACAGCCTTAGACCACACTAAGCCCCCATTACTTTATCATTCTCATATTCAAACAGAATTGAAGACCCACTAGAGAAATGTATCCTGTGCTCTGCTCTCCCTGTAAAGGGTTTAGATTCATCCTTTGGTGCCAAAACAATTGAATTGCTTTGCAGTTCAATCAGCAAATTGATCGTCTGCTCTACTAGCTGGCAAATTTAAAGTATCGTCAATGTCAGATTATCCACCAGAGTATATCTATTTTGTGGATTATACCACCTCTACTCCACGGCTGGGTTGAGCCAGGATGCCCAGAGAAAGAAGAGAGCACTGGAATATGTTTCTAATCAAACATCCAATTAGAAATGATCTTTAAAATGGCCATTATTTTGCATTATCAGTCCCCTGCTTTTTCCCTCCAATATAACTAATCATGCATTAACTGTTTCAGCTTCTTTAAACTCTTCAAATTGAATATCTGAAGATGCAAAATACAGTAGTTAGACTTTTACAAATCTATAGACTCTCACCCCTTTCATAGCTGGATGTCTACCAGATATTTTTCCCTAGAAAATCCTAACTCTTTGAAGCATTCTGGCATTCTTTTGTAAACCCTTTCCTTGTATCAGGCAATTTTCTTTTTTAATAACAAAATAGTCCAGTCTCAACTCATTAAATTTTAAATCACAAACTATCCAGTCTTTTGCCACTGAGGTATGTGGCCATTTGATACTACTGACAGACCTCTCTATACTGGCTGTGTTTGTTGCTTAAGCATGTCCAACTGCTAAACTGGCAATGGCAGAAAACATTTCCTTTACCTCAAGAGAAGGAACTCTGAATGTCAAGGTGCTGAGCTAGCTGTCTAGTACAGAACTCTAGCCACAATTAGCCAACCTTTGAGCCAAACCATATGATTGGACATAGAGTGGATATCACACACTATAGCTACTTCTAGCGTATGTACTACAGGGATTCCTGAGAAGCTGAGGTTAATGAATGAGATTTATCAGGAGTGAGGTATCAAGGGGATATTATCATTCTCTGGAGGGCCAATCAGTGCTTGGCATCTACAAAGTATACCTTGGCACAGTGTTATCTGGTTTCTTGAAATTTATTCTCTGAAGTAGCACCTTAACACTAGCCTAGAAGAAACACAAAGGCAAACACCCTTCATACTGCTGCTGCACTATGAAATATGACCAAACTTATCATTGCCATCAAATACCAGAAATAGTAACATTTCCTGTTTTGCAAACTTTAGTGGAGAAGGATAGCTAATAAGACAGGTATTGAACCAGAAATACACAGATAAGAACTTTGATTTCTACACAATATACAGGGTGGTCAGGCAAATTGTCTCTCATATGAAGGAGTCACTGGCATGGAAAGGACAAAAGATGTAAATTTACTGAGCCATGACTATAATATAATGTACCCTAGAGAGCTTTATTTTCCTTTTCATTAAAATGCTAGAGTGATATATTCACAAGGAGAAACTCTGGTGACTGCCTTGATATTTTAAAGATAAAAATGAAATAAGCCTTGGCTACCCAGTTCTGAGCAAATGAAAGAATTTCAGATTTTGGAAAGACAAGAACTAGGGGTAAAAAGTCCTAGAATCAGGGACCAGCAACTTTTAAATGAGGTATACTGAGGTGTTTGGTGGGATGGAGAGTTGATGGGGTGGGATATGCCAAGTGACTGCTGATTTGGGGCTAGAACGATGGTGGGAAGTGCTGGGAACCAATTTGTAAAATGAGCCAGGCTAAACTCTCACCTCTGGCAGTGAAGTCTCACTGCCATGGCATCCAGTGCAGAGATGGAAATATGGCAGCAGCAACTGGGCCACATGACAAAGAAAAGGGCTGCGTGTTCATCTCTGGCCTACATGCCATAAGACTGCCGAGTCTTTGTGGGGGCAGGGGGGCAAGGGCAATATACATAACCTTAACATTCGTACCCCCATAATATGCTGAAATAAAAAAAAGAAAGAAAGAAAGAAAAAAGATTGCCAAGTCTTGGTTTACACTTTAACTAGCCCTGGGTGTTATTTTTTGTAATAGGAATGATTAACCAGGCATAGTGCTCAATCCCAAAGAGAGGATTCAGTATTAAGGAGTAGGAAGGGGAACAGAGTAGAGGGGGAGTAAACTGCACATGGATAAAACTATAGAAAATGAAATAGTGGTTGAAATGATGGTGGTGGCTTTTTAATTCCACCAGGTGTCACTATAGTATGATTTAAAAAAAAAAAAAAAAAACTGCAATAAAGGTGGTGGGAAATTGAGATATAAGCACCTTTGGTGTTACCAGGCCTTATCCATGACCCTGGGTCTTAGGATGGCTCTGCATTTTATTTAGAATTCTAATGACCCTCAAGGGAGTCACAGCTGCCTATCCTGTTCCAACACCTTGAATATATTTTAAAGTATCCCAAGCTTAATTCATGGTCACAGGGACAACACTGGCCTGTTATATATACTTAATGCTGGGAGGTGCAATGAGTGTCCAGTTATCTTAGTACTGGTGGTCTTTACAAAGGAATGCATGAGCATGCAGATGCAGCTCTGAGTCTTCCCTGGTTTCCCAGTATGCAGTTCCCTTTACTGTTCTTACATATTCCAGAAGCCTAAAGCACCATCATTCATGGAGGTGGCATCTGGGTAAGAGGATTACTTAGGACTTCACAAAAATGTGAAATTCCTAGTCATTGACTGCTTAAAACTTTACTAATCATTCATTTCAAGGAAGCTGGAAGAAATCATTCCTTGCTACCAACAAATTCATGGCAAAGTCCTTGCCTACTAGCTAACAAATACCATCTGGAAAATTACCCTTTTTGCAGACAAGGAGAAAGCTCTATAACTTATCATTGTGCACTTCAAAAGAGTACCAGGAACAAGCAAGCTATAAAAGTCAACCTCTCTAAATTCATGTAGGAGAGATTAACCAAAGCAGCATTATTTTATAATCAGAAATTAAAATTAACATATACATACACACATACATAACAGATTAATAATGCTAAATATTGTAACAGGAACAAGAATAACATTTGAACTGAATCTTCACAGTCTAGCAACACCATTACTATTTTCCTTCTGGCTGTCCTTTCTGTGGTTTGAAAAGCAAAGCCCCTTAGTTTGCAAACTTCATTTTCCACCAATGATAGATCCCAAAAAAGTGACTTTTTCATCAGTTTCCTGCAGGCTATATGTCAGGATGGTTGGAATTTCTTGCATAGTTTTCAGTGATTGCATATTGGCTAACAATTTTTAATTAAAAAACCTTTAAAAAACAAATAGAATTAAACCATAGCAATCTTGTTTACTCTTTCATGAAATCTTCCTAATGCAATATCACAGAAGCCTAACTGTATTTTCTCCTAAGGAGAAGATTAATTTCCAGAGATTATGTAGTGCAACTGGTTGACTTATAGGAAAAAGAGAACATACAATATGACTTCACTATCCAAATATGGGAAATGTGTTTTGGGGACCCAGCTAACAAAATATATCCATGGTCTGCAATGTCCTTCCTGTTTCATATCCAGAATAACCCTATGACTCTAGTTGAAGAGAATGGAATCAGGATCTTTGTTCGCCATCTGTGCTATATGCTTTAACACATCCTTTTTGGTAATGATTCCAAGCAATCGCCTAAAAGACAAACACAATACAACAAAACAAAAATAAATCTGCAATTAAAACTGCATTCCCAAAGGTGACACATTTGTCTTCCTCAGTCCTTTTCAACTTTGCCTTTGACCACTATCTGCACTTCCAGAATGATGAACTAACAGGAGTAGGAAATGCGCAACAGACAAATGGGACAACACGTGAGTCCCTAAATGTATGCAAGCATTTCTACCTCTAGCCTCAGCCCCTGCAATTTCCTCTGGTTTAAATATTCTTCTCTACATACCTGAATCTTACTTACCTATTACAGCCTAGTTCAAATGCCCCTATTCCAGCACACCTTCCCCAATCCTACAAGCCAGCAGTAACTGCACTTCTCAAAGCAACGACATATTCTGTGCAGGCCTCTTCTATGGCACTTGTCCTCTTGGCTATTGCACTATAACCACTGGTGTGGTCTTGCCTTCCCTATAACACTGCACACTTTTTGAGGACAGTGAAGATTCTTATTTATTTTTGTGTCTCCCCAGAATCTAATGGAATGCCTTCTTACATGGAGTAGGGATTTAGTAAATGTTGAAGAAATCATTTAGGGAAAAGTCCCCTTCTTAGTGATTTAAATCCTGCCAAGACATCTATTACACCACTTAGAAATTTCAGAGGGGAAAATTCTTATATAATTGCTGGATTAACATGCCATGCTCAGAAAAAAATTCACCCCTCTCCTCAATCTCCCCTCTTTTTCAATAAAAATAGCAGAGCTTTCTTTACTGGATAAGACATACCCCAGGAAGGAAGGAGTCTTGGGCTTGGGAGTCAGAAAACTTGTGTTTAAAGCCCACCTCTACTATTTATTAACTGGGGGCCCTTACTGAAAGTTGGTTTTCTCCTTCTAAATAACATAATAACAACAAGGAGATTGTAAGGACCAAATACTACAAATATACTACCTGATAACATTATAATTTCAGTGCTGCCTATGCACAAGAACATAGCTATTTCCATTGTGGGGGAGGAACTGAGTTATTTATAATGTGCAACTAGTATGTCATCTCTCTCTTGCTCTTCCCCAAATTCCATTTCCATTGATTATGATGATGAAAGAAACACATCCATCTTTATCTCAGAGCTTCAAAAAGGCCTGAAAGTGCTACTAATGTTCATTTCAATTGGGTTCTCCTTCTTTCTCTCTACATTCTTTTCTCCCACAATCCAATTTACCTTCACCCAAGATTCTTACCCGTTGTGTGTAATCAGGCACTGCCGCAGTCCCAGCTTGCGGAAGATATCCACTACGATCTCCATGGGTGTAAGGTCAGTCACAGTGAAGGGGCTGAGATCCAGGATGTTCCGAAGCTTCAGAGTGGGTGGAGTATATGGTGGCATTGGAGGAGAATGCTCAGTGAAATAAATGATGGAAGTGCTCACAACCCCATCCTGTTTCTTTCGAGCATTTTCTATTTGAACATAAGGAAAAAGAAAATTGAAGATGGAAGTGCTAGTTCTATCCTTCTAGCCCCTAACTAGTCCCCTCTTCCCTCTGTCATCCCCAATTTCATGCATATTTATTGAGTCCCACAGTGGATTCCATTATCCCCTTTCTGAAATCCTTACCAATTGAAATAATGAGATCTCTTCGGAGGACAAAGCCTACAAGTCTTTGGGACTCACGGGATACCACCACCGGAAAGCCACTGTATGTGGTTTCACTGATTATGGTCTCTACATCTTCCACGGTCATACTGTCCTGAGTAAGGACAGTCAACAAAGGATCATTTCTCCGGGGTTTCATCACATCCATTGCCAGGGTCTTATGAGCAAACTCTTCTTTGGCTTCAAGAAAGGGGTATCCATTGAGACGGATGTGGGCATCATAGATGCCCTCCCGCCCGAGAGCATCTGCCACCCACTTGCTTGTCATGGCTGCAGCCATCAGAGGCACGATGTATTCCAAGCCACCAGTCAGTTCAAACATTATGACAACAAGAGAAACAGTCATCCGAGTCACTCCACCTATAAAGAAATAGACACGGGCTGCTGACAGCAGGCAAAGTACAGGATTCATTACAATTATGGGCCCAGACAGGAAAAGCTGACTTATCAGACAGAAGCAATGCTAGAATGGGATCTTATCCACAACTGTGAAGACCCCAGCAATCGCATTAAAGTAAGGTTACAACAGACAAGATTCAGATATCTCAAAATAACACTATACTATTCCTTCTTACGTATTTTTTTTCCATTTTTCTGTTGCTTCTTCTCTCTAATAGAGAAGTAATATATTCCCATTGTGGAAAATTTGGAAAATGTAAAAGAAAGTCATTATCCATAAGCTCTGCCTATAAATGAGCAGAGCAAAAATTTGAATGATTTTTCAAGCTTTTTTCTATGCAAAAACATACATATTTATATAACTGAGCTCACATTATATGTTAAATTCCTCACCATACTTCCCTCCCTTTATGTTGGGAATATTTTACATATTATTACAAATTTATTTAACATCATACTTAAAGATGTTAAACATATTAACATCATATTGAAAGGCTGCATAGTATAAGTTATATGGATGTATCATGATTTATTTAACCAGTACATTACTGTGCAAGTTTAGGTTGATTCTAATTTTTTTCTCTTATACTATGATGCAGCACAGTCTCGTCCATCTTTGTCCAAATTTCTGATAATTTCCCCAGTGTAAGAGAGTAGAATTAGCTTTCTTAAAACGCTTGAGAAATGGCAAACTCAACAGGAAATGAATGGTCATTAAAAAAAAATTCTGCAATCAATTGTGTTAAATACTACTCTTCTTTTATATGTCACTTGGGTAGCAACTTCTTTGAAATCAATGCAAATACTACTCACCTAAGCAGGCTGCAGCCCCAACCATTGCATAAAGGCCAGGGGTGATGCAATCAGCTCCCTGACTACACCAGCTATTGAAGATGGCCCAGTCATGGTGATAATAAGCCAGTTGTTCCATTCCTACTCCTAGAAGTCGACCTGCTATAGCTCCAACAGCCATGCTAGGGATAAAGAGGCCAGAAGGGATCTGCAAAGAGAAAGCAATAGATGGTTAGTTGGAAATGATGTGATTGCTTGGCATATGGTAAGGGCTAGAGGACTGACACTCTGCAAAGCAAATAGGCCAATGACAATTTAACTATGCACTATGCTAGCAAGTGGCTGTAAAGATTTGTGTAACACTACAGGGACTAGAGGTTCTCTGGGACGTGCAGGCAAAGATGACTGCAAAGAAGCTTACCCTGATTCGGGGGTTCATCAGGCAAGAGCCTGAACTCTCCAGACAAACACAAAACTGGAGGCAGAAATTAGGCCTTTCCCAAAGAAAAAGGAAAATAGATGGAGTTTCTCATATACGCAGACATTTCTACCGATTTTGAATTCTTAACAACAACTACCCTTTATTGACTATCTACCATGTTCTATGCTGGATGCTCTACATACCAAGATTTATCTGTTCTTTATAAAAACCCCCAGAAGTAGGCATTATTATCCCAAATGCCAAAGAGCCTAAAGTTCGGAGAGGTTAAGTAACTCACTCAAGGTCAAGATTTAGAAAAGACTATTTCTGGGATTTAAATGGAAAGCTCATAATCACACTCATATATTGAATTGTAACCCATTGCTCACACAAAAAGGATGGCACATGAGGTTTCACTCTATTTTGTAATACTATCAAGAAAGATTCAACAATTAAAACTTTAAAATGAGATCATGACTATGGTTGCATGATTAGCCAAAAAAGGAACACTAATGTATCTCCCTGCTTTTTTTCTTGACACCTAGGTTACCATAATGAATTCTTTTTTTTTTTCCACTTTTTTTTTTTTTATTTTTATTTTTTTTATTTTGGCATATTATGGGGGTACAGATTTTAAGGTTTCAATAAATGCCCATTTCCCCCCTCCCCCCAAAAGTCTGAGTCTCCATCATGACCATCCCCCAGATGGTGCACATCTCACTCATTATGTATGTATATACCCGCCCCCCTCCCCCCTCCCACCTCCCCAATACCCTATTACTGTAGCACCTGTGTGTCCACTTAGGTGCTACTCAGTTAATACCAGTTTGCTGGAGAATATATCTGGTGCTTGTTTTTCCATTCTTGGGATACTTCACTTAGTAGTATGGGTTCCAGCTCTAACCAGGAAAGTATAAGATGTGCTATATCACCGTTGTTTCTTAGAGCTGAATAGTACTCCATGGTATACATATACCACATTTTATTAATCCATTCTTGGATTGATGGGCACTTGGGCTGTTTCCACAGCCTTGCAATTATGAATTGTGATGCTATAAACATTCGAGTGCAGGTGTCTTTTTTGAAGAGTGTCACTGGATCATTTGGGTAGATGCCCAGCAATGGGATTGCTGGATCAAATGGTATATTCACTTGTATCGCTTTAAGGTATCTCCATATTGCTTTCCACAGAGGTTGAACTAGTTTGCAGTCCCACCAGCAGTGTAGGAGTGTTCCTCTCTCTCCACAACCACGCCAGCATTTGTTATTTGGAGACTTTTTGATAAAGGCCATTCTCACTGGAGTTAAGTGATATCTCATTGTAGTTTTGATTTGCATTTCCCTGATGATTAGGGATGGTGAGCATTTTTTCATATGTTTGTTGGCCATTCTTCTGTCTTCTTTAGAAAAGTTTCTGTTCATGTCCTTTGCCCACTTTTTAATAGGGTTATTTGATTTTTTCTTGCTGATTTTCGTGAGTTCTAAGTATATTCTAGTTATCAGTCCTTTATCGGATACATAGGATGCAAAAATTTTCTCCCATTCTGTAGGTTGTCTGTTTACTTTCATGACTGTTTCTTTGGCTGTGCAGAAGCTTTGTAGTTTCATCATGTCCCATTTATTTATTTTTGTTGCTGCTTTGATTGCCTTTGGGGATTTCTTCATAAACTCTTTGCCTAGGCCGATGTCTAGGAGAGTGTTTCCAACATTTTCCTCTAGAATTCTAATGGTTTCATACCTGAGATTTAAGTCTGTTATCCAGCGTGAGTTGATTTTTGTGAGAGGTGAAAGGTGTGGGTCCTGTTTTAACCTTCTACAAGTGGCTATCCAGTTTTCCCAGCACCATTTATTGAAAAGGGATTCTTTTCCCCAGCGTATGTTTTTGTCTACTTTGTCAAAGATTAGATGGCTATATGAGGATGGTTTTATATCAGGATTCTCACATCTGTTCCACTGGTCAATAATCCTATTTTTGTGCCAATACCAGATTGTTTTAATTACTACAGCTTTGTAGTATAGTTTGATATCTGGCATATTAATGCCTCCCAATTTGTTTTTGTTGCCTAGAATTGCTCTTGATATTCGGGGTCTTCTTTGGTTCCATACAAAGCGTAAAATTATTTTTTCTATATCTGTGAAGAATGCTGATGGGATTTTAATAGGTATTGCATTGAATCTGTAGATCAGTTTGGGTAGTATAGACATTTTAATGATGTTTTACTAAGAGAGGGAAATGATAAGGATAATCAAAACAGCAGATTATTTTAAAATAGCCTGTGTTTGATTTTGGAATGCGTTTGAATCTGGCATTATGATAGTCTACAAATCCCTTTAAGTGAAAGAATGAAGGCACTAGGTGAAAATTAACTCAGGAAGCACTACAAAGTTTTCCAGCATCTCCATCCTATCCCTGTGTTGAGGAGTCAGATGGTATCATCTCAGAGATTACAGTATTGCCTAAATGGAATTGCCTTCTCTTATTTTCTGGCTTGAATCTCCATTTCTCCAGAGAATACAGAGAAGTAACATGGTAATAGGATACCAAAGAAAAGAAAAGAAAAAAGTAAACCTTGAGAAGGAAGGGGGGATATCTTAAATTTTTCTTTCTGGCTTCTTCTGAAACATGGAATTGGTAACAGTTACTCAAAGTAAAACATGCCAGTCTGATGTCAGCTTTTGATAGTTTAAACATTAATTTAGGATTACCTATGAAATGGATGCCACTTTCTGACAACTGAGCATTGATAACCAAGTATAAAAAATATATTTAGCTCTATATTGGGTTGAACCACATGAAATTGCTACTTTAGTGGTCAAAAGGAGTTATCAGCAACTTCATTTGGTTCAACCTACTACTGTACTTTATTGGTAAACTCTAAAGCTACCCTATAAGGACTAACAGTGTGTCAGTCAGAAATTGTTTTGATATAAAATGCACTGAAATAAATACCTCACCATCCTTTTTGAAAGGCAAAATATGTTTTCCACAGAAAAGGAGAAAATATTTCTTCCCAAAATTTCATCACTGAGGTTGCGCCTGCATTTGGCCTACAACTTGACTTGGACAAATTCAGACAGTGGTACAACTGTCTAGGAAGTTAGAAGAACATATAGGGGCAAAAGAAGCTTTTGGGGGAGGGAAAATATTGTTGGGGGAAATTGAAAGTGCCATATGAATTATCAGGATTGTATGATACCCAGCCTTTGCCCTCCAAAACCCACAGCCTCACATACAGCCACAGAGTCCCAGAAGAATTCCTCACCTTCATGCCAAAGGTGAATATAGTAATGACAATTTTCAGTATGAGTGTCAAAGCCAGCTGCCACATTGCACTGTAGACTCCCATGCCAGCCGGTCTGTCGGGCAGTTCACCCCCCTTGCTTGTGTTGAAGTGGTTCTCATAATCACAGAGCTTGGAGGAGTCCAGAAGGCCACAGTCATTAAACAGCTCAGAAATGAGCTCACTTGTACTCATACGTGTGTATTCATTGGGAAAAGCCAGGATGGCAGTGATGGCTGTCACAACAAGTACCTCTACGACAGGATACTTGCCCAACTGAGTGGTCTTTCGCTTCCGACACCAAGCAATGTTTGTGCGGATAAACAGAGCTCCCCACAAACCACCAAATATGCCCAGTAAGATGAATGGCACAAGCTCAAAGAGATGCCATGGGGTATGAAACTCCACATAAAACAGAACCAGGCGGCTGTTCCCAAATGGATTGATGGAGCGCAGAGTAAATGCTGCCACCAAGGCAGCAAAGAAGGAACGCCATAATGTTTTGAGTGGAAAATAGTAGCTGACCTGTAAGAAAGAAGTTGAAAAAGCAAACTCAGTCAATATGCAGAAACCATTTCAGGTGAAAAGTTGGTCTTATAAGCATTAGAGCCAATTTGAGGATGAAAACTGTCCAGGGATTTCTAGTCACCTGGTAAAAGCACTAAGCTGGGCAGAACACCCAGGGACTGTAATGTACATAGATACTATACATTATGTGCAATTATTGTACTGCAATGTATAAAATCCCTGACATAAAAGCACATGCATGTTATACAGACAGTTAAAAGTCATTACCTCTTCAAGGCTGAATAATACTCCACCAATAGGTGCCCCAAAGGCTACAGATACACCAGCTGCTGCTGCAGCTGACAAGACCTACAACCCAAAACTCAAAATTAGCGATAGAATAACACCACTTTCCCACATTTGATCACATTTTTAAAAGGAATGCTAGTGGTTACTAAACACTTAAAAAAAATACCTTTACATGTGCCATATCATCAAAAATGAAGCTCAAACACTGTATGCTTAATTCTAAACACACATACATGGTTCACATGCTTGATCAGGTAAAAGAGCCTTTCCTTTGTCATTAATTTAGGCATGTGCTTTACATAAATTATGCTTACCATCCCCAATACTCCCAAGTCAGTAACTGCATTTGAGTTTGTAGACCTATTCATTCACCACCTAAATGAAGTACTTACAGTGATGTATTTATATAGTACTTTGTAAAGGAATGTTTTTTAAACAAGATATTAAAGGTGGCTCTAATGATACAAAACTGAAGTTACGATTGGCTCACAGCTATTCAGGAGCTGCAAGTATTCGTACAAGAGCTATTCAGGGTTCCCTGTACTATGCATCCTATTCCATGCCCAGTAACCTATGGAAACAGAAATAAGGAAGTGACTAGATTTTGAAGGTAAGAGAAAACCTAAATATGTTTAGGTATGGAAAGGAAAGGGGCTAGGAGGCAGAGAAAGATGAAGAAGCAATCATAGGGGAAGAAGGATAAAGAGGGAAAGAGAAGAGTGATATTGGAGAACACCACCTCTGTGTGTAGGCATGTGTATGCATGTACAAGACAAACACTGGTGATGGCAAACAAAGCAAAATTAACAGAAGAATCGAGTCTTTTCCTTGGATTCTGGTTGCTATGGAAAGAGAAATGATTTGGAAAAGGAAATATTTTAGAGAAAGAGAAAGTTGAACAAAATTAAGTGTTTTGAAGAATAAAAATGTCATTGGCAAAATAAGTAGGCAGGTTTCTCTGGGAGTGTAAGAGGACCCAGGAAAATGATGGGGAGGAAAGAGTGAGATCTCTGGTGTTAGCTGTGAGTCCTTTGATATGCATATCTACAATGGCTTTCATTTGAGAAGGATGAGGACAGTCAACATGCAACTTGAGAAAGGGAATTTCAGTGACTATGTTCAGAGTGAATTAGAAAGAAGAAAGAACCCAGTTTGCTACTTTGCTTTAATTTTATATTGTAGAGTGGAGTCTATCTATGCCCTTCCTTCTCAAGTCTCCATTTTATTCTCAACCATCTGTCCACCTTGACAATGCAACCAGACATAAAAGAGTTGCCGCTGATGGTGAGAATAACAGGAAAAAAATACGTGGAAAGTCTAAATAGGCAAAAGCAAGTAAATTTAAGATTCAGATACAGTCATGCACCACATAACTACTTTTCAGTCAAAGACGGGCGGCAACTAAGACTGGTCTTATATGATTATAATACTGTATTTTTTCTGTCCCTTTTCTATGTTTAGATACACAAATACTTAGTGCCTTTATTTCTCAGAACATATTATTCCCATGGTTAAGTGACGCATGACTGTATTCATGTGAGTCTAGTCAAAGAAATATATGGCATCTATACAGAAAAACAACCAAATCAAACTCCCCTCTTATAAGGAACTATTTGAACAAAAATGCCAATTTTATGGAATGAAAGTAACTAGCAATCTGTAATTTCAAATTCGCCCCCGCGTATGCAAAACCAGCAACACGCAACACTCTACTCTTGCCCATTAAAATGTTTTTCTCAATTCTTTAGCTTCTGATGTACATTATTCCCGTTCAACAACCTCACCAATTTAACACTTCTTTACATCCCTCTACCCCATTACAGGTACCTAAACAATCTACTCAGATTTCCCCATCTCTCTCCCACTAGCCTTCCTCTCCTTTATAACTGTTCCAGGAACTTTCCCCTTTGAACTATCAAAATGTATTCCATATTTGAAATCTCAACATCTTTTGAGTTTCCTTCTAGGTCTTGTGGTTAATCTTTTTTTGTTTTCAGAAGAAATCACCAGGCTTCAGTTTTGTGAAAAACCCTTTCTAATGAAATGACATTGCTCTTGACCCATTCCATATGTGATTTCTTTGTAATTCAAGAAAATAAAGCAAAAGCCATTATTTTTTTAGGTCCTTAATTATAGCAAGACAAAAGTAACCACTGACTTGGAACACTTTTTAAAAATGTTCCTCCTCCTCAAAAGAGCGTTCATTGGCAACTGCATAAGCATGAAAACAACTACAGAGATGTGGGACTAATTTAGCTGGGCTGAGGCAGAAGGCAGAGAAAGGTCCAATACATAGAGAAACTAATTCAAGTGTGTCATTAGGCAGAAATAAAAAATGAAAAAGCTGACATCTAAAACACACACTGTACTTATATTTATTTACTCTTCCACAGGAATAAACAACTTATTTAAAATCTATTATTTTTGCAACTTATTTTGTAACAGAAGCAACACATTCTTGAATTATATATTATATATATAATAAAAAGTTCAAGTCCTTACTTCTCCTACTACCACTTCACTCTCCCACTCACCAGAAGTAGATAATTTTAACAGTTTGGCATTAAAGCACTTTCTAGATATTTTCTAAATGAATATATACACACTTTTTAAAAACATTAATTGAAGTATACTACATACATTATTCAGAAACTTGCTTTTTAAATATAACAGTGTTTTATAACCAGCACTCCATGTCAATATATAGGGTTATCACATTCTTTTTAATGGTTTCATGATATTCTATAGTATGAATAGAATACTGTTTATTTGATCAGTCACTATTGATGGACATTTGGTTGCTTCAGTTTTCCACTGTGTTGACAAATGCTGCACTGACTATCTCTATACACCTTTGTGCGCACACATGCTAGGATGTCTGTAGGATAAATTACCAGAAGTAGAATTGCCAAAGAATACTTGTATTAACATTGGTAGAATCCCAAATTCTCACCCTTAAGATTATACCATTTATGCTCTCACCAAAAAGAAACTCTTAAGGCAATTTGTTATTACCTCTCTGCGCTTGGCTTCATTCTTCCTGTATTTGTTGAAGCAGTGGCATAGGATGTTCCCACAGCAGCAAGCCACGTGCACTAGGGGGCCCTCTTTGCCCAGGCTCAAGCCAGATGACACTGCCAGCACCAAGGTGATGGTTTTGATAACCAGGGTCCACTTACCCAAATAGCCCCTAATAATGAAACCACTCAAGATAGTTTTTATCTGTAGGTCAAACACAGAGAGATTGAATATAGACTGAGGAAGTCAACAAGGCTAAGAAGCAAAAATCTGGACCTCATTATAGAAACTGTACCTTTTGAACAAGTGATATAAACGTTTGACCTATAATGATCCCAGTTTGAGAGGGAACGCAGCAGCCCAAGAAAGCAAGAACTGTTCTTCAAGCTTTCATGTTCCCCTTTTCTGGGGGGAGGCCAGTGATAGCTGGGCAAGGGTATATCATAAGCATGAGAGAGTGTGTATATGGATAAGGGGGAGGCAGAGAAGGAGGGATAGGCGTTTTCCTTACTTTACAAAAATAGTGGCCCAAGAGGCATGTTCTTAGAGGGCAAGGTAAATGTCCCTGAAACAACCTTTTTTTTTTTTTTTTTTTTTTTTTTGAGACAGAGTCTCGCTGTGTTGCCCAGGCTAGAGTGAGTGCCGTGGCGTCAGCCTAGCTCACAGCAACCTCAAACTCCCAGGCTTAAGTAATCCTACTGCCTCAGCCTCCCAAGTAGCTGGGACTACAGGCATGCGGCCACCATGCCCAGCTAATTTTTTCTATATATATATTAGTTGGCCAATTAATTTATTTCTATTTATAGTAGAGACGGGGTCTCGCTCTTGTTCAGGCTGGTTTCGAACTCTTGACCTCAAGCAATCCGCCCGCCTCGGCCTCCCAGAATGCTAGGATTACAGGCGTGAGCCACCGCGCCCGGCCCTGTACAACCTTAAAGGTTATATATAGGCGTGACTCTCTGATAAAGAACTCTGTAACTATTACTTGGTCAGGACACAGACAGGGAGAGAGGGGGAAGGTCATCATGGTAACTAAAATGTTAATGGTTTCAGTCACTGTCAAGCAATCTAAGCCAAAAGTAGTTAAAAATAGGGTTTTAACCATCCCCCTTCTAGCCTAAATCATATTATGGAAATGTAGCAAAGTGGTTTTATTTCTTCTGCTCTAACAAAGCTGATGATACCCCTACTTTTTCAGGTCAGAATCTTGGGATTTACCCTGGGAGCTTCTTAGATAGGGAGCAGGGAAAGTCTTCAGGAGTTTAGGTCAGTAGGAACCTTCAGGAGGCTTAGATCAATACCCTTTAATTTCCAGGTGGCCAAGGCTGAAGGTAGAAGACTTGAGGAAAGACCTAAAGAGGCTTTAAATGGTCTCAGGATCTAAACCTGCTTAATATTCATCAAATTGTGGTATATGTTGGAATATACATTAAAAGATTTTAACCAAAAAGAATTCATATTGTTACCATTTATAAACCATTTTAAGAGACTCACCTCAGGGATTCCGGAGCCACAGGCATAAGGAGCGAACACCTTGACAAGAGATACAGCAAGGAAGGCAAATAGAAGAGCCCAGAGGACGTACATGAAATAATTGACTATGTAGGCAAAGGCTCCCTAGAACAGGGGGGAAAAGAAGATTGTTTTAGCCTAGACAGACTCAGTGAGACATTGCAGCTCTTCAGTCATGGTTTTTCAGGAGAGAAGGTCAGAAAGAAAAAGACCAAGATAAAATTGCTGAAGATGTTTCTTTCCAGATTGCCAGCATATCAAATACTGATACACAGTCAGGTCACTTGGTGCTGAAAAAGAGATGCTTTGCTGCACCCAAAGTACACTTACTAGGGATTATAAGGATGGACAAGGAGGAGGAGCAAACTGAAGACCCTGAAACAAAACTCACTTCGTATACGAGTGCTTTGATAGGTTTTGTAGTCAAATGTATATGACTCCTTGTCAATTTTACCAAGTCTTTTTTTTTTTTTTTTTGAGACAGAGTCTTGCTTTGTTGCCCAGGCTAGAGTGAGTGCCGTGGTGTCAGCCTAGCTCACAGCAACCTCAAACTCCTGGGCTCAAGCAATCCTTCTGCCTCAGCCTCCCGAGTAGCTGGGACTACAGGCATGTGCCACCATGCCCGGCTAATTTTTTCTATATATATTAGTTGGCCAATTAATTTCTTTCTACTTATACTAAAGACAGGGTCTTGCTCTTGCTCAGGCTGGTTTTGAACTCCTGACCTCGAGCGATCTGCCCGCCTCGGCCTCCCAGAGTGCTAGGAATTACAGGCATGAGCCACCACATATGGTCACTACCAACAGTCTTAAGACCTTGGTAACCCATTCCCCATCACCCCCCCCTTTTTCTTTTGGAATGGCTGAGCCTTGGCTACACATTCAAAGTGAAGACCAGATCTAAAGTTCCATGAAATCTACCTTTGGCTATCTACCTTATTGTCAAATTTTCACAAGGAGGTTCCAATAACAAAATGCCTGGGTGCTGTTTTTTTCTTTTTATAGAATATATGATATTTAAGGTAAGCAACATGATGTTTTATATACATATACATAATGATTACTATAGTCAAATGAACTTACATATCCATCACCTTCCATAGCTACCCTTGTGTGTGTGATAAGAGCAACCAAAATCTACTCTAACAAATTCTCAGTATACAATATTACTAACTATAATCCTGTTGCACATTACATCTCTAGACTTATTCATCCTACCTAACTGCAAATGTGTACCCTTTGGCCTACTTCTCTCCATTTCTTCCTCCCCCCACCCCAGCTAACCACCATTCTATTCTCTGTTTCTATTTAATTAAACATTTTTTTTTAGATTCCACATATAATGACTACATCTTTGAGAGAATTTTGCTACCACAGACTCAGCAATAACTATGCAAGTAGAAACCTTTGGGCCCTGACAAAGCCAGATATTCCAAAGAATAAAATGGCAACAGCTATTTTTAAAAGAGAGAGAATATATTTTGAGACTATTCTCCTATGATAATGAAATCTAGTTTTGACCACCAGTAAAGATTCACCAACATCAAAGGGCTTGCACATAGCCATGCCTTACAAAAAAGCAGTTTTGAACATTAGGAGGTTATGCTTGCTGGTAGAATTATTAGCAGTTGAAACTCACTCAAATTACATGAAATATAAAACTCAATGGACTCTGACTTTTCAAAATATAAAGCACTATTAAAATAATTCATTGACCTAGACAAAGAGAACCAGAATGGCTAGATTTTTTTCTGAATTGTAAGTTTGATACAGGTTTTCCATTATCTTAGTCCCTGGAGGAAAAAAATAATTGCTATTTCTTTGCCTTTCAAATGTAGCTAAGGAGGAAGACTTCAGAGGTAGGAAACGGAGAGAGAAATGGAATATAAGGGAAAGTAACTATAACTGGCCAGAGGCAGAGACCAGGAGGTCAAATTCTTGGCTTTTGGAGGCTTCATAAAACCTAGAAGACCCTTTCCCCAGGCAAGGATTTCATTCATAAAAAGGAGAGCAAGAGAAAGTTGTCACTCAAGCAAATCTCAAGCTCCAGTTTGAAATTGACTATTGTAACACTTATATACACACACAGCTATAAAGGGGTAGCATGAGGAAGCCTCATAGTGACAGTCAAGTAAATTTGACTGTGGTGGTTACACAAATCTATGCATGGGATAAAATTGCAGAGAACTATGTGCAAACACACACACACACATACACACACAAATCAGTGTGTGTAAAACTGGCAAAATAAAGCCTGTGGATTGTACCTATACCAATTTCCTGGTTTTGCTACTGTACTAAAGTTATGCAAGATGTTGCCATTGAGGGAGGCTGAGTGGGTACTGGGGACCTCCTTGTACATTTTTTGCAACTTCCTATGAATTTGTAATTACTTTAAAAATAAAAATGACCAAAAAAGGCAAGGGAAACATATATACTCCCCCTGAGTTGCAGGGCTTCTCAAATTTTTCTATCCAAATTATCCTAATCTAGGAGAGTGAATAGAGATATCCAGGCATAGAGTGGGGTACCTGGGATCAGAGCTAAAACAGAGATATTGTTTTTTTCTTAACAAACATGGAAATTCTGCATTCCATATTTAAATGGGTATTTATATTTAGTTTTTGAAAAAATATTTCCTCCAAATATTCAGGAAAAACTGATACTCTGGGAAGGCACACAATGTTTATCCTATGGATTCACCTAGCCTCTGGCATACCCCAGTTTGAGGAGCACAGACCTAAACTCTCTCAAACATACAGCATCTATCTACCCCTTTAATTGAACCCTTTCCTCAAGGCAAATATGCATAGTCATATATGTACATAAATACTCCTATTTATAACTTTATTATTTTCCTATTCTCCTTTACCGTTGGCTGATTATGTGTGAGTACATGTGCACATGCCACCTCAAATTGTGGACCAAGGTAATAAAAATAAAATTTTAAAGTGCAAACATATATCCTAGTCTTGTCTCCCTCACTTTACCTATCTTAGTTGGTAGAAGTCAGAGTGAAGTAGGAGTTGAGAGTCTTTTGTTTTGTGTGCTTTTGTTTTCAGTGGGAGAGATCTAACAAATAATTGAGTGGTAAGAGAAAGGTAAGAAACTAAAAAGCAAAGTTACTTTCACATCAAAAAAACGTATGCTAGAAGACAAGGACAAATGAAAACATTGGTTTGATCACAAAATGGGACAATGGGCAATTTTATTCCTGGGTTTCTGTTATTTTGATGTGGAACTTATCACAATTTTTTTAATGTTCTAATGTAATGCTCAGGGAAAAATCACTTATGGTGTCTATATGATAAATACATTTTTAACTCTCTTTATCCTTCATTAGAAATTATAGCTTACCTGTTGGCTGCCTTCAACATCTCTACTAAAATTATTAGGGAAAGATAAATTCAGTCACACTGTGTTCTAATAACTAAGAAAAAACATCAGGCTTATTTAAAACAAACAAACAAACGTTTTAAATATAAGCATCAAACAACTCCACATGTCAGAAGAGATGGAAATACAGCTGCACTTAAACCACAGAGAAAGGCAGCTGGTACTGGTTCCCTTTTTGTGAAAAGGAAAATGGGAGGAGATTCCACAATTGCTGTGAGTACAGTATAAGAAATGAAATAAATGTAAGAATAAAATTCAGTAGTTCAGAAATCATTACTACATGTTACCTCATCCGTGCTGATGATAAGCTGGGACCAGCTATTCCACTCTGGGCATTTGTCTCTGTCTTCAAAGGTAACATGTTCAGAGTTCCAGCAACAATGCTCATGGTTAAACCAGAATCCCCCTGTGCATATACCTTCTTTTAAGTCTGTCATCCAATGAGCAGAGATGTCTATCAAACCAGCTAAAGAACCTGATTTGTGAGGAGGGAGGGAAAGGGCAAAGTTCAATTCAATCTTTAAAACTCGGTTCTTCGGTAATCAGAATAAGCTTTGTCAGAGAAAATGAGGGAAAAGGAATCCAAATAACAAGCACATACCTTCCCATTCCACATGCAACCTCTTTCAAATTGTATGTTTGCTTGACTTTCACTTATTACTTCTGCATTAAACAATGGTGTGTGTAGAATTTTTACATAGAAGGGACTTAGGGAAAGCAAAATGGGTGGATGGGAGCGAGAGACTAGAGGCTTTGTCTTTAATCTGAATTAACAGGGCAAAGACACTGCGCTGACTTCCAGTTTATGAATACTGACCCATAAAGACAGTCAAGTTTATTAAATATTATTTTATTCTCACTATATACACAATTAAGGGGATGTGAATTGCCTCAAATAAATTCTATGATATTTATTTGAGATGGATTGGGAAGGAGAGCTGACAAAGACTATGGGGAGAAGGGCTAAGCCTTGACAGCAAAATTGTGCACCATGGACAAGAGAATATGAGCAATGGCAGGAAGGCATTCTTGGCTAAGGGAATTGAATTCATCAAAGCATAAACAGCAATGTGTAGACATGTTGAAGCCTCCTGAACCTAGGACATGAACATTCTGAAGTTTTCTTAGTGAGAAGGAACAAACACAGTATCATACACAGAACATTTACCAAAGAAAATTAGGAAGAAATGAATAGTGGACTGGGGCACTCATGCACTGTGGCTAGTAGACTGATAGGGTTAAGACAGTTAGAGAGCTTTAGATTCTGGCCTTCTCATCATTTCTGCCATCCAGATGAAGAAACTCTGGCAAAAAGAAATTAAATAGCCCAGAATCGTGCTTCAGGGAAATAGTAAAGCCATCATAAAATTCACAGCCCCTGAATTCCCAGACTGTTCCTGCATTCAAACACACTGCTTCTATTGTTGCTCTCCAATGCTTAAAAACAAAATACTCTGTGTGTACGAGGGAAAGAAAAATATTCACTAACCACCTAGTGACAAGAAATACATTAAAAAGTTGATGATATTACACCAGTATTCCAATAGGCAGGAGGCCATGTCGTGTGTATGTTTTGGTAGGTGCTAAAAGTATTAACACAGGTTATTTATATACTTAAAGAACCTAGTCAAATCTAACACATTGTTTGACATATATTCTTGGCCACTCCAGCCCCCAGACTTCTCTGCACTTACTGCCTGGATTTAGCAAATTACCATAATGTTATGTAGTTTGGCCTGTTCTTTGGTTGTTTCATGTATGCATGCCTTATTTTACCTAAAATTTTTACCCTCAATCCTGTCTTCCCTTCTCTTCTTACCTCTCTCTTCCTCCTTCACCCACCCAATCGGCTCATTCTTCTCTGATTACACATTTTATTAGGCTTCCCCAACCCTAAAGAATAAAATGCTGTCCCTTGCCCTTGTTAACCATTTCAAACTTTTGCCCTTCCTCTTCCAATGAATACCAAAATTTCCACACTGGTTGCCTTCCCTTTAAATCTTGCTCCTGATATTTATCTGAGATGGCTATTCAAGGTTATTGATGTGCTCCTAACTGCTAGGTTGTATAACTTTTTCTCAACCATCTTCTTTCTCCTTAGCCCTTCTGCAATACTTGGCATCACAGACCACTCAGTCTATTATTAGCCAGCTCCAAACTGGCCAGACCATGTTCTCTCTCCCGTAAGAGCCACAGGGAGCAGAGTTAACACTCTAGGCCATGAGTTGGCAAACTATGACCCAAGTGGCCTACCCTCTATATATGTAAATAAAGTTTTCCTGGTCACAGTCAGGCTCCTTTGTTTACCTATTGTCTACAGCTGCTTTGGGGCCACATTGAAGAGTAGAGCAGGTGCAGAGACCACTTGGACCCCAAATCCTAAAATATTTACTATCCAGCCCCTTTACAAAAAAAGTCTACCAATTCCTATCCTAGAAAATATTTGAAAACCCAGCTATAGATGAGCCATTCCTCATTTGCTGCAGTCATTTTCTACTCCATGGCTCCCAATTATCTCTCGGTAACAGTGACAGCAGCAGCATTAATAATTGAGTGCTGTGCTAGTAAGTGCTGTTGTGTGCTACCTCTCATTTAATGCAAACTTTATTATCTCCATTTTACTGATCAGTAAACTAAAGCTTCCAGGCCTTAAGAAACTTGCCAAAAGCCACAAAACTAGCAAGTAGTAGGCTGGGATTCAAATCCAAGCAACCTAAAACTAGAGCCTATGCTGCTAACTACTATTTTATCCCCTTCACCTCTAGGTTTCCTACCTAACTTCCCCTTCAGCTCAAGATTCCTGATCTTCCCAGGCCCCATCCTTTCATGCCATCAGGACATACCTCTTGGCACCTATGCCTGGTATCGTTGGCGCTCTGCTTCCCCCATAGGAGGGGAAGCCTGCTTGGGAACTTGCTTGAAAGCTGTATTTACACAGCAAGTATACTATTCTTAGTGAAATTATATATTATTTGGAGCGGTAGGGGGGGGGTTGATGGAGTTTACAGGAAAAGGTGGCACTATCCTACCTCTCAACCACTATGAAAGAATGAGATATAGCAGTATCAGCCATATCTTACATGTTTTTCTATACCACAAAAGAGAGCAGATCAGGGGTGGGGAACCTGCTGCCTTAAGAATCCAATTCGAATTCAGTCAAAAGGCCACACTTAAGGATTTAGAAGGCCACATGTGGCCTTAAAGCTGCAAGTTCCCCACCCCTAGAGTAGATGTTTAAGAAACATCTACAAAATGTCTTAGGAATTCCTCTTCTGCATCTTCTCTCCTAAATCCTATGCAGTATGTGTTTTTTTTTTTAAAAAAAAAAAAAGGGGCGGAGCAAGATGGCGGACGAATAACACCGCCAGACAGAGGGTCTCTGCAGAAAAGACCAATTCTAGCAGAAACTAGAGGAAAGAAGCAAGAAGACGAGCATACAGCGGACAAGGGCCGGAAGGAGGGGTACCTGAGACCCCGGGAGACTCCACGGGAGGAGGCTGCGGAGGAGAACTGGAGGCTGAGACCACCGGAGCAGCCCGGAGACCAGCGGCAAGGGTAGGTGGATTTGCTGTTTCCCCTCCCCTGCATTCGGGACTGCTGGTGGGCTCCCCAGCGGATGGAGAGACCTGCGGACATCAGCCCAGAGACTGCCGCCGCCTGCCAACGGTGAGCCTGTAGCAGACGTGGCACCAGGTTCCCAACTTCCTCCGGGCACCTCCGTGTGCACGGACCCGAGCCGCGTGGCAGGCGCCATATTGCCTCCTCCTCCCCTCCACCGACCCTACCCGCGGCTGCCCAGAGAGACAATACAGCCACCAGCCGGAGGCACCTCCAGGGAACGGGACCCTCCCGTTTGGGACCCCGCCGCCCTCCCAGGTGCTGCTGGCACCGTGTTCCCAGGAAAACAGTGCCGACTCAGAGGCTGAGAGACATAGACCCAGCTTGGGCTCCCTGTGGGTGAATTAGGACCGGAAATCCTCTCCCTGGTGGGAATACAGTTTGAACTCTGGGACCCAGAGGTCGGACCTGCAGACCAGATCCCCTGCACCGAGGGCTAGCATTGCCCGGGGCACAGAAGGGTTATACGTGAACAGCCTACTGAGGGCTGTGTGCCTCCAGGGGCGGATCGGCGCCCTAGAGGACAACCCTCCTCCCAGGAGGAGGCCATGCGCCAACCCAGGTGGCGTTCCTGTGCAGGGAACCTCCCGCCGGCACCACAGTCCGGGGAGGCCTGGTGGCTTGTGGTCTGGCCTGCTGGCAGAGGCCCAGGAGTAGCTGCAGAGTTGGGAGGGTGGAAAGAAGCTAGGCCTGCTGCAGACTGCGAGTCTCAGACAGCCCCACCCCCACACCCAGACTTTCTGGCTGAGCGGACCATTCCAGCCCCGCCCTGACAGCTTTCCCTGGAAGCTGAGGACAGAACTTTGACCCCTGCTAACGGCCTGAGGGCAGGCTTATCCACCCCAGCTCCGCCCAGAACGAGAGCTGATAACAGGACTCAAAATCAACACCATAGCCTGTTCCTCCAAGCAAACGCCACCTACTGACAGGGACGGCATCTTGCACAGCTTTCCACGGCACCCACTGACTCAATATACAGGGAGTGGTCCAATTTCACCCACAGGCACCACCTAACGCCTCAGAAACTAAACAAGGTGTGTGAATACCCAAACAATAACCTAAGGAAAGAAACAACAACTCATCGACATGGGAAGAAATCAGCGAAAGAACTCAGGAGAACTCAGGAGAATATGAAGAACCAAACAGAAAACACACCCCCAAGGAGGAGCACCAGCCCCTAGAAACGGACACCGACCAAATCAGGCAACCAATATGAACAGAAAAGGAATTTCGTATGTGGATCATAAGAACACTCACCCAGCTGCAACAACAACTCAATAACCACACCAGAAAACACAAAAACCTCCAAGAAATGGAACAAAGGTTCAACAAAGAGATTGACACAGTGAAGAAAACTTTAACCGAAGTCCTGGAGATGAAGAATCAACTCAGAGAACTACAAAATACTGTGGAAAGTCTCAAGAACAGGGTAGATCAAGCAGAGAAAGAATCTCAGAGCTTGAAGATAACACCTTCCAATTAAATAAATCAGTCACAGAAATACAACAGAGAAACAAGAGAAAAGACCAAAGCCTACAAGAGCTGTGGGATTATGTGAAAAAACCTAACGTGAGGGTCATAGGTTTAGCCGAAGGGGAGGAAGACAACACTCAAGGGCTGGACAAGCTTTTTGAAGATATAATAGAGGAAAATTTCCCAGGCCTTGCTCAAAATCTTGATATACAAGTTCAAGAAGCCCAGAGGACCCCTGGGAGATTCAATGCAAACAGGAAGACGTCACGTCATGCAGTCATCAGACAGACCAAAGTATCAACTAAAGAGGCCCTTCTAAGAGCTGTAAGACAAAAGAAGCAAGTGACATACAAGGGAAAGCCAATTCGAATAACATCAGACTTC